GATCCCAGGACCCTGGGATCATGACCTGAGCCGAAGGCAGACGCTTAACGACTGAGCCACCCAGGCGCCCCTCTTTTATGCTGTATGTTTGCATAACTTTTCATTGATTGCACATTCCATAATTTACGGTTAGCTATTTAGATTGTTTCCAGTACTTCAATATTATAAATATAAGCAGAACTCCCCAGTTTCACTATGCTCATAGTTGTAGCCACACTGGCACCGAAACTACCATATTGTCAGATCTGGGCCCACGCCACCTCTTCATTCACTGCCTCAGCTCTTATCCTCACCAAATCAGATCAGCCTCAGCTCCTTCTCAGAGTCTGCAGGTGGGTGATGGATATTTAAATTCTTCTACTCATTCAGGTATATACACCGAGTGTTTGCTGTATGTGAGGCACTATGCTTGACATACATATGGGGACATACTACCTCCTCTGCCCGGAGCTGTGTGGAATACTGCTAAGAACTGTTTCCTGACAGTCTGCTGGTCTATGGCAGAGGGGAGAGGGTAGGAGAATACTCCTGTCCTTGCTCCACATGGCACTCAACCATTTAGGCCCTGAAGCTGCACTGTTTGGACGTGGGGTCTCACATAGTCCTTTGTTAATTCTTCTCCTTCCACTTCTCTCAGTCTTATGGTAGTAGAGATTCAAATCCTCATATTCCCCATGGTCTTCATCTTTATCCTCCCTAGAGAACACCCACTCATTCTTCAACCAAAATGCCAAAGCTGCCATGTACATCAACTGATGCAAACACATGCTTATGGAGAGGAGCATCCCCTAATGCCACCCACCAGGAGCATTGTAGACTCAGGGCCACCAGGTCATCCAGAACCCTCTCAGATGTCAGTAATACTCAGTGGACATCACCAAGAAAAGTTTCTTTCTTCTTTTAGATTATTTCCCTAAGATAAATTCCCAAATGTGGGATAATTGGGTCAAAGTATTAAAATATTTTTTATGGCCCTTAATTCAAGTTGACAAATTGTTTTTCAAGATTTACATGGTGGATAAGCACTATCTACAATAATATCAGTTCCTTGCACTGTCACCAGGATTAGGAATAATCATTGTTGTAAATTTTATCACTGGGATGGACAAAAATCATACTTTTTCCTTGTTTTAATTTGCATTTCTGTGATTACCACAGGCTTTAATCTTCTGCCATATTTGTTTCTAGGAATTTTTTCACTTGTATGATTTATTAGCACAGATGTTGGTTTATTTATTTATTGAAAACATTTTTTATAAGTACTCTATATAACAAAGACGTTAGTCTTCTGGCCATGGTTGTTGCATCTTAGAGCCTCCACTCCACCCTACCACCCCTCTTCTGCTCTATTTGCCTTTTTATTTTGGTTATTTTATTTTCATTGTTTTTGTTGTGGTACAGAAGTTTAAACTTTTTTTTTTTTAAATTCAAAGTTGTCAGTCTCTTCCTTTGTGGTTTCCTCTTTCTTTTTTGTTTTCATTTCATTCATTTTGTTTTGTTTTCATTTCAAAGCTTGCAAGCATATTACCTGTCCATCAATAGGGGACTGGGTAAAAAGTAATCAGAAATATCAATATATTCTGCTTTATTATAAAGTTATCTCTGGGATATATTGTTAAGTGAAAAAAGCAATGTGTAAAACAATGTGTATAGTTTGCTATCTTTACTTTAAGAAAAAGGCAGGAGAAATATGGAGATATATATCTATATCTATCTATCTATATGATTGATTGTATGATATTTTTTAAAAAGGAAAAAGTAGAATAATAAACCAAAAACTGAAAAGAAAACAGGGCCCTTTGGAGAAATGGCTAGGGCAGGAAATTACAAGACAAGCCTGGAATATCTTGGGTACCAGAAAACAAGGAAACTATCAGAGACTACTGGGTTTGTGCCAAAAAGACACAATAGCCAACAGGAAGGACTTTCCACTAATCAAAAATGGAATAATTTGAATATTAAAAATAAACAAAAAATGTCTGAGAAAATAATGACATATGTGTGTACTTGATTAAAACACAAACATATTAAGATCACGAGTCCATAATGATATTAAAAAATAATTCATTGGTCAGGTAAGTGGATGCTAGGGCAACTCATTATTTTGAAAAGTAGTAAAGAAAAGAATAAAGAATTTATTTATTTATTTATTTATTTATTTTTAAATGTTTTATTTATTTATTCATGAGAGTCAGAGAGAGAGAGAGAGAGGCAGAGGCAGAGGGAGAAGCAGGCTCCCCGCCTAGCAGGGAGCCCGATGTGGGACTCGATCCCAGGACCCTAGGATCATGACCTGAGCCGAAGGCAGACGCTTAACCATCTGAGCCACCCAGGCGCCCAAGAATAAAGAATTTATTTTGCCTCTTCTATACAAACTGTATTTCAGAGTAACTGAGTAGTTGATGAAAATGAGTTTTCCATTATAGATTTCCAGCTAATAGATGAGAAGGAATGTGGTAGACAGCCTCCAAGATGGCCCCCAATGATCCTGACTCCTGGTATTCACACCCTGTGTAGTCCCCTCGTATGCTGTACCAGGGTTGACCTTTGACCAACAGCACATAGAAATGATGGTATGTCACGTCTGAGATTAGACTATAAAAGACTTTGGCTTTCATCTTGTTCTCTCATTCTCTTCTCTCTCTCTCTTTCTGTTTCTCTCTCTCTCTCTCATTACTCATTCTGGGGCAGCTGCCATACTGTGAGACATTCGAGTAGTTTATGGAGAGCCTCACTAGGTAAGGAACTGAGTTATCCAGTAGGAACTAAGCCTGCCAACAACCAGGTGAGTGAACTTGGAGGTAGATCCTCCAGCCCCAAATGAATGGAGTCCCAGTTAGCAGACTGATTGCAATGTCATGAGAGTCTCTGAAGCAGAATCACCCAGCTAAGCCACTCTCAGATTCCTGACCCACAGAAGCTATGAGATAATGCTCATTGTTTTAAGCTACTAAAATTTGGAGTAATTTGTTATGCAGAAATTGCTAACTAATACGAGGGATGATAGAGTTAGAATATCACAGATTTGTACTGACTAATAACTGGATGTGAGCAATGCTCATCAATGACTGCTAAAACCATAAGGCACAAGGCTAAGGGGGAACTTTAAAACCGATGGGTCTGCAGGGTGACAATATCTGAACTTAGTAATCAAATTAAAAAAAATTTTTTTTCATACTCACAATTATGGTTTATTATTGTGAAGAGTACAGAGCAAATTCAACAAAGGATGAAGTCCAGGGGAAACCAAGTGCAGACTTCCAAGAGTCTCTCCCAGTGAAGTCACCCAGGACACACTTATTTCTCCAGCAACAAATCGTGACAGTCCCTGCAAAGTGTTGTCAGTCAGGAAAACTTGATTGAATCCAGGAGTCTGGTGTCAGTTACCCAAACTTATAGTGCCTGTGTGACCAACTGTACCACTGGAGCTCCAGACCCCAAGAAAGAAATTGTTTTTTACAAAATATCTACACAAACTGGTACAGTGTGAGGAATCAAATATTTAAAACAACTTTATTTTTTATTAAATTTTTATTTAAATGGGCACCTGGATGGCTCAATCATTAAGCATCTGCCTTCAGCTCAGGTCATGATCCCTGGGTCCTGGGATCAAGCCCCACATTGGGCTCTCTGCTCAGTGAGGAACCTGCTTCTCCCTCTCCCTCTACCTGCTGCTCCCCCTGCTTGTGCTCTCTCTCTCTCTCTGTGAAATAGATAAATAAAATCTTAAAAAAATAAAGCTTTTAAATTTTTGTTTAAAAAATTTTTATTATGTACAATTTTATGTACAATTTTTTATTATGTACAATTTCAAACATATAAAAAGTATAGACATTAATAGGCTGGATTCTATATGCCTCACTCAAGCATTAACAATTATCAGCTCATGGCCAGTCCTATTTCATCCATAACAGCACCCAACTCCCCTCTACTCCGTATTTTGAAGTAAATCCCAGACACCACATCATTTCATCCACTGATCAATCTTAACATCACAAAAAGAGAGACAAATAGACATTACATGTCTCTTATGTGATGCAATTAGAAGTCTTTGACATTATCTATGAAGTGTTATTGCTAAAAAAAAAGAAAAGGAAAGGAAAAGACCTGAACTTGAAATCAGGTCCCATCTCCAAGTTCACAGGAAAATACAGAGGATATGTAGGAAACGCTACATATAAGTGACTTGATTTCTTCAAAACACAAATGGATTGAAAGAGTGCAAAAATAAAATTAGGAGATGTATCAACCCCAGAGATGTGTGGACTATATTAGTCAGGGTTCTTCAGAGAAACAGAACCAACAGGATGTATATAAGAGGAGCTTTATTATAGGCATTGGCTTACACAGTTATGGAAACTGACAAGTCCCATGACCTGTGTCTGACATCTGCAGACCCAGGAGAACTGGTGATATAATTCAGTCTGAGTCTAGAGGCCTAAGAACTGGGGATGCCAATGGCATAAGTCCCAGTCTGAGTATGAATGATCTAGAGCCACAAGTGACAACGTCTGAGGGCAGGAGAAAATGGATGTCTCCGTCCAAGCAGACAGAGCAAATCTGCCTTTCCTCTATCTTTTTGTTCAACACAGGCCCTCAGTGAATTGGATGATTCCCACTCTGAACTGGTGAGGGTGACCTTCTTACTCAGTCTACTGATTTAAACGCTAATGTCTTCTGGAGACAACTTCACAGGCACACCCAAAAATATCGTTTTATCAGCCATCTGGGCATCCCCTAACCTAGTCAAGCTGATACACAGCATTAACCATCACATGAACCTATTTGGAAATCAATTCAAACAAGAAGCCATTGTAAAAGATACTGTGAGACCATCAAGGAAAAGAGAACATGAACTAGGTATAAAAGGATATTAAGGAATTATTATTGATTTCATTAGGTGTGATAATGGAATTTGTGTTGCTTTTTCATTGTTGTTCTTATCTATAAGGATACATATTGAAGAATTTATGGATAAAATTAAACTGTGTGATGCTTCTCCCTCTCCCACTCCCCCTGCTTGTGCTCCCTCTTTCGCTATGTCTCTCTCTGTCAAATAAATAAAATAAAATAAAATAAAAATATTACTTATCTTGATTATGGAGTTTTCCTTTAGTTTTGGATCCAAGGCAAGTGTCTCACTCAACTCACACTAGTGGCTCTGGGAGACTAAATGTAAACACAGACATCAAGAGGTAAGCAATGCAATAGCAGAATGGGATGAACACTATAAAGGCAAGTGTGGTAGAGAAGCGCTAGGGAGTGAGAAGAGAGAGATTAGGAGAAAGTGTGTATGTGTATGTGAGCATGTGGATAGTGGTGGATGGCGGAGGCAGGATGGGGAATCAGGGAGCTTTCCAAGGAGTTGCTGAAACTAGAGAGAAGTAGAGGGAATTCAGGATATGTTTTCAGGATGGAAAAGATGTGACTTGCTAATGGCTTAGAAAGAGGAGGGGAGTGAAAGGTAGGAGATTGGGTTCAGCTTCAGTAATGGTGAACAGGGGTACCTTTAACTGAGGTGAGCAATACTGGGGAGGAACAGGATTCAAAGGAACCAAGTTTGACTTTGAACCATATTAAGTGTGAGCTGCTTATTAAAGACACACAGAGCTGAAAAAGCCACTCACAAAGACAGGTAGAAAGAGAGGAGCAAGAGATACAAATTTGGATGAGATCACTTATGGAAACAGTGTCAAGAGAAAAATGGACTGGGCACAGATCTAAGCTCTGGGGCCACCAACACTTAATGGTCAAGTAAGAAGGGGGAGCCAGGAAATGAGGCCGAGAAGTCGCCATCAGTGAGGTAGGAAGAGAACATGGAAAACATTTCCTAAAGAAGAATTGTGTGAAATACTGCTGAGAAGTGAAGTAACTGAAAAAAGAGAACTAACCATTGGGTGTAATAACAGGCAACCCAGATGTGGGCAGTTTCCATTGAGTAGGGAGACAGAAGCCAGATTTGGAATGAATTGACAAATGAGTTTGAGAGAGGCAAGGAAATGAAGACAATGAATCTGATAATGCATTTAAGCAATTCTTCAAGGATGGAGAACAGAGAGGCGGCTTGGAAGAATCAAGTTGGAGCATAATCCATAACCCTCAGTTCTACTATTACTTACAGTATTTTGTATTGAGTACAGCTCTGTTTCAGGAAGCTGTAGAGATTGATTTCATGAGTATGGAATACTTTGTGAGAAGATTATAAAAAGGAAGTAATTTGTTTCACATTTTGCACGTATTTTTTATATATTAGCTTTTAACCAACTATGACCATGGCAGAGAAGGACATTAGCTAAAAACATTAGGTCTAAATCTGGGGCTGAGTTTTTATTTTTTTATTTATTTTTCTTTTTTATTTTATTTATTTATTTGACAGAAAGAGACACAGCGAGAGAGGGAACACAAGCAGGGGGAGTGGGAGAGGGAGAAGCAGGCTTCCCGCTGAGCAGGGAGCCCGATGCGGGGCTCGATGCGGGGCTCGATCCGGTCCTGGGATCATGACCTGAGCAGAAGGCAGATGCTTAACGACTGAGCCACCCAGGTGCCCCAGGGGCTGAGTTTTTAAAAGCAAGAATCATTTCTTGGGGCACCTCAGTGGCTCAGTTGGTTAAGCATCTGACTCTTGATTTTGGCTCAGGTCATGATCTCAGGGTCATGAGATGGAGCCCTGTGTCAGGCTGCACTGGGCGTGGAGCCTGCTTAAGATTTTCTCTCTCCTTCTGCTCCCAACCCCCCACATGCTCTCTCTAAAGAAAAAAAAAATCATTCCTTAAGGCAGGATCTAGGGTACAGGTAAGGGAGGGGTGAGGGAAATTGAGCCCCACTGATGAGCAGAGCATCTTATAGCTGAGACAGGGATCTGCCTACCACCACCCACGTAGTGAGTGCGTTGAGTGGACAAACCTTTAGAGCAGCCTTGAGAGGGAGCAGCCTCAGTGACACTTTGCACCTCAGAATCTGTGAGCAGTGCACCGTTGTCCCTTCGCTTTCCCACAAGAGTAAAGCCAGAACTGTCCCTGATAGCTCCAGTCACCCATGGGGGGCTCCTTCCCTCACCAACAGAAGCAGTAGAGGTTGCATCTCTTCTCTCCCACCCCCCAACCCCCCTGTTCTCCAGTGAAGACAGATGGAGAGAGGAGAACAGTAAACATGCATTTAAAAAGCCATGGACCTCATCTCTCTTATCCATTTATTTTTAATTAAGCTCAGAGGGAGAAATTGCCTGCTTTGAGAGGTAAAGAAACTTGTGGGTTTTGAATTCTAAACCCAAGACACCAGGTAGTATGCTCTCCTTAATATTGAAGGATTAGGGAGGACTCCATTCCTCATTTCAAGCAAACTGTACTATAAAATATGACAACCTCTCTGAGTCCTGCTTGTTGTGCCCCTATCTGTGGCTCTTTTTACATTTCCTTCTCAGACTTTGGGCAAGGACTGCTCAGACGGGCATACGTTTCTGTACTTGAGACAAGGAAATGCAACATTCATGTAGTCAGCAACTTTGGCTGCTCTATGGCCATACTTTGCCCAGAGGTACATCCAGAAACACACAAATCCACCTCTAAAAGTTTGTAGAGTGAGACAGCTTTTACTGAATGTTCTCCCCAAAGGGGCAGTGAAGGGAAAAATTTATGCCATCCAACATAGCAATGTCTCCCAGTCCCTCCTCTTGGGAAGAGAAGTTGTCTCTTTCATAAAGTGGCCTCGCTTCCTCCTCTGGCCACTGGCTCCTCACTGCCCTCTCTTGTTCCTCACTTTCTCAGGAAGGCCTGCTGTCAGCTTCTGCTAGCTTCCTCTCCACCCCTCACCCCAGCAGTCCTGACTGGTCCTGACCAGAGATTTCCTGCTCTTGAATATTATCAGTCAAAACAGGTGTATGGGTCCCACTGTCGCCCTGTGACAGGACTCTCATTTTAATCACCGAGGCCCTTGGAATTTGGATTAGTTTCCTATGGTAGCTGTAACAACTTACCACAAACTTAGTGGCTTAAAACAACACAAATTTACGACCTTCAGTTCCATAATTCAGCAGTCCCAAGTGGGTCTCAAGGTGTCAGCAAGCCTGTGACCCTTTCTAGAGGCTCTAGAGGAGAATCTGGGTTTTGCCTTTTCCAGCTTCTAGAGGCTGCCACATTCCTTGGTTCTTGGCCCCCTGCCATCTTCAGAGCCAGCAAGCACATTACTCCGACCTCTGCTTTCTTCCCCGTATCTCCTTATCTGACTCTGGCTGTTCTGCTGTCTCCCTCTTCCACATTTAAGGACCCATTTAAATACCCTGGCCATGCCCTTATAATCCTGGATATTCCCCCTGTCTTCAGCTGATGAGCAACCTTAATGCCATCTGCAAACTTATTTCCCCTTTGCCATATAACAGAACATATTCACAGTTTCTGGGTATTAACGATATGGACACTTTTGGGAGACCATTTTTTGTCTACCACAAAGTTCAAAGGCCAGTGTGGCTTGTGGTA